GGCCCTGGGAAGGCAGTGGGGCCCAGTGGTTAGAGGAGGGTGGGGGGCAGGACTCAGGTCTCCCCCGGCCCTGGGAAGGCAGTGGGGCCCAGTGGTTAGAGGAGGGTGGGGGGCAGGACTCAGGTCTCCCCCGGCCCTGGGAAGGCAGTGGGGCCCAGTGGTTAGAGGAGGGTGGGGGGCAGGACTCAGGTCTCCCCCGGCCCTGGGAAGGCAGTGGGGCCCAGTGGTTAGAGGAGGGTGGGGGGCAGGACTCAGGTCTCCCCCGGCCCTGGGAAGGCAGTGGGGCCCAGTGGTTAGAGGAGGGTGGGGGGCAGGACTCAGGTCTCCCCCGGCCCTGGGAAGGCAGTGGGGCCCAGTGGTTAGAGGAGGGTGGGGGGCAGGACTCAGGTCTCCCCCGGCCCTGGGAAGGCAGTGGGGCCCAGTGGTTAGAGGAGGGTGGGGGGCAGGACTCAGGTCTCCCCCGGCCCTGGGAAGGCAGTGGGGCCCAGTGGTTAGAGGAGGGTGGGGGGCAGGACTCAGGTCTCCCCCGGCCCTGGGAAGGCAGTGGGGCCCAGTGGTTAGAGGAGGGTGGGGGGCAGGACTCAGGTCTCCCCCGGCCCTGGGAAGGCAGTGGGGCCCAGTGGTTAGAGGAGGGTGGGGGGCAGGACTCAGGTCTCCCCCGGCCCTGGGAAGGCAGTGGGGCCCAGTGGTTAGAGGAGGGTGGGGGGCAGGACTCAGGTCTCCCCCGGCCCTGGGAAGGCAGTGGGGCCCAGTGGTTAGAGGAGGGTGGGGGGCAGGACTCAGGTCTCCCCCGGCCCTGGGAAGGCAGTGGGGCCCAGTGGTTAGAGGAGGGTGGGGGGCAGGACTCAGGTCTCCCCCGGCCCTGGGAAGGCAGTGGGGCCCAGTGGTTAGAGGAGGGTGGGGGGCAGGACTCAGGTCTCCCCCGGCCCTGGGAAGGCAGTGGGGCCCAGTGGTTAGAGGAGGGTGGGGGGCAGGACTCAGGTCTCCCCCGGCCCTGGGAAGGCAGTGGGGCCCAGTGGTTAGAGGAGGGTGGGGGGCAGGACTCAGGTCTCCCCCGGCCCTGGGAAGGCAGTGGGGCCCAGTGGTTAGAGGAGGGTGGGGGGCAGGACTCAGGTCTCCCCCGGCCCTGGGAAGGCAGTGGGGCCCAGTGGTTAGAGGAGGGTGGGGGGCAGGACTCAGGTCTCCCCCGGCCCTGGGAAGGCAGTGGGGCCCAGTGGTTAGAGGAGGGTGGGGGGCAGGACTCAGGTCTCCCCCGGCCCTGGGAAGGCAGTGGGGCCCAGTGGTTAGAGGAGGGTGGGGGGCAGGACTCAGGTCTCCCCCGGCCCTGGGAAGGCAGTGGGGCCCAGTGGTTAGAGGAGGGTGGGGGGCAGGACTCAGGTCTCCCCCGGCCCTGGGAAGGCAGTGGGGCCCAGTGGTTAGAGGAGGGTGGGGGGCAGGACTCAGGTCTCCCCCGGCCCTGGGAAGGCAGTGGGGCCCAGTGGTTAGAGGAGGGTGGGGGGCAGGACTCAGGTCTCCCCCGGCCCTGGGAAGGCAGTGGGGCCCAGTGGTTAGAGGAGGGTGGGGGGCAGGACTCAGGTCTCCCCCGGCCCTGGGAAGGCAGTGGGGCCCAGTGGTTAGAGGAGGGTGGGGGGCAGGACTCAGGTCTCCCCCGGCCCTGGGAAGGCAGTGGGGCCCAGTGGTTAGAGGAGGGTGGGGGGCAGGACTCAGGTCTCCCCCGGCCCTGGGAAGGCAGTGGGGCCCAGTGGTTAGAGGAGGGTGGGGGGCAGGACTCAGGTCTCCCCCGGCCCTGGGAAGGCAGTGGGGCCCAGTGGTTAGAGGAGGGTGGGGGGCAGGACTCAGGTCTCCCCCGGCCCTGGGAAGGCAGTGGGGCCCAGTGGTTAGAGGAGGGTGGGGGGCAGGACTCAGGTCTCCCCCGGCCCTGGGAAGGCAGTGGGGCCCAGTGGTTAGAGGAGGGTGGGGGGCAGGACTCAGGTCTCCCCCGGCCCTGGGAAGGCAGTGGGGCCCAGTGGTTAGAGGAGGGTGGGGGGCAGGACTCAGGTCTCCCCCGGCCCTGGGAAGGCAGTGGGGCCCAGTGGTTAGAGGAGGGTGGGGGGCAGGACTCAGGTCTCCCCCGGCCCTGGGAAGGCAGTGGGGCCCAGTGGTTAGAGGAGGGTGGGGGGCAGGACTCAGGTCTCCCCCGGCCCTGGGAAGGCAGTGGGGCCCAGTGGTTAGAGGAGGGTGGGGGGCAGGACTCAGGTCTCCCCCGGCCCTGGGAAGGCAGTGGGGCCCAGTGGTTAGAGGAGGGTGGGGGGCAGGACTCAGGTCTCCCCCGGCCCTGGGAAGGCAGTGGGGCCCAGTGGTTAGAGGAGGGTGGGGGGCAGGACTCAGGTCTCCCCCGGCCCTGGGAAGGCAGTGGGGCCCAGTGGTTAGAGGAGGGTGGGGGGCAGGACTCAGGTCTCCCCCGGCCCTGGGAAGGCAGTGGGGCCCAGTGGTTAGAGGAGGGTGGGGGGCAGGACTCAGGTCTCCCCCGGCCCTGGGAAGGCAGTGGGGCCCAGTGGTTAGAGGAGGGTGGGGGGCAGGACTCAGGTCTCCCCCGGCCCTGGGAAGGCAGTGGGGCCCAGTGGTTAGAGGAGGGTGGGGGGCAGGACTCAGGTCTCCCCCGGCCCTGGGAAGGCAGTGGGGCCCAGTGGTTAGAGGAGGGTGGGGGGCAGGACTCAGGTCTCCCCCGGCCCTGGGAAGGCAGTGGGGCCCAGTGGTTAGAGGAGGGTGGGGGGCAGGACTCAGGTCTCCCCCGGCCCTGGGAAGGCAGTGGGGCCCAGTGGTTAGAGGAGGGTGGGGGGCAGGACTCAGGTCTCCCCCGGCCCTGGGAAGGCAGTGGGGCCCAGTGGTTAGAGGAGGGTGGGGGGCAGGACTCAGGTCTCCCCCGGCCCTGGGAAGGCAGTGGGGCCCAGTGGTTAGAGGAGGGTGGGGGGCAGGACTCAGGTCTCCCCCGGCCCTGGGAAGGCAGTGGGGCCCAGTGGTTAGAGGAGGGTGGGGGGCAGGACTCAGGTCTCCCCCGGCCCTGGGAAGGCAGTGGGGCCCAGTGGTTAGAGGAGGGTGGGGGGCAGGACTCAGGTCTCCCCCGGCCCTGGGAAGGCAGTGGGGCCCAGTGGTTAGAGGAGGGTGGGGGGCAGGACTCAGGTCTCCCCCGGCCCTGGGAAGGCAGTGGGGCCCAGTGGTTAGAGGAGGGTGGGGGGCAGGACTCAGGTCTCCCCCGGCCCTGGGAAGGCAGTGGGGCCCAGTGGTTAGAGGAGGGTGGGGGGCAGGACTCAGGTCTCCCCCGGCCCTGGGAAGGCAGTGGGGCCCAGTGGTTAGAGGAGGGTGGGGGGCAGGACTCAGGTCTCCCCCGGCCCTGGGAAGGCAGTGGGGCCCAGTGGTTAGAGGAGGGTGGGGGGCAGGACTCAGGTCTCCCCCGGCCCTGGGAAGGCAGTGGGGCCCAGTGGTTAGAGGAGGGTGGGGGGCAGGACTCAGGTCTCCCCCGGCCCTGGGAAGGCAGTGGGGCCCAGTGGTTAGAGGAGGGTGGGGGGCAGGACTCAGGTCTCCCCCGGCCCTGGGAAGGCAGTGGGGCCCAGTGGTTAGAGGAGGGTGGGGGGCAGGACTCAGGTCTCCCCCGGCCCTGGGAAGGCAGTGGGGCCCAGTGGTTAGAGGAGGGTGGGGGGCAGGACTCAGGTCTCCCCCGGCCCTGGGAAGGCAGTGGGGCCCAGTGGTTAGAGGAGGGTGGGGGGCAGGACTCAGGTCTCCCCCGGCCCTGGGAAGGCAGTGGGGCCCAGTGGTTAGAGGAGGGTGGGGGGCAGGACTCAGGTCTCCCCCGGCCCTGGGAAGGCAGTGGGGCCCAGTGGTTAGAGGAGGGTGGGGGGCAGGACTCAGGTCTCCCCCGGCCCTGGGAAGGCAGTGGGGCCCAGTGGTTAGAGGAGGGTGGGGGGCAGGACTCAGGTCTCCCCCGGCCCTGGGAAGGCAGTGGGGCCCAGTGGTTAGAGGAGGGTGGGGGGCAGGACTCAGGTCTCCCCCGGCCCTGGGAAGGCAGTGGGGCCCAGTGGTTAGAGGAGGGTGGGGGGCAGGACTCAGGTCTCCCCCGGCCCTGGGAAGGCAGTGGGGCCCAGTGGTTAGAGGAGGGTGGGGGGCAGGACTCAGGTCTCCCCCGGCCCTGGGAAGGCAGTGGGGCCCAGTGGTTAGAGGAGGGTGGGGGGCAGGACTCAGTCTTTTCCGGGGGAAAAAATGAAAAAGAAGTGCAGGTCGCTGAGCGTGCGCAGCCGCCTCCCTCGGACCGGCCTCCCTTCCTCCACCGGCCCGTACCGCCCCCCAGAGTGGGACTGGCCCCTTTGTCTTGCGGCCCGGCTGCTAAGTGAGGTCACACCGGGTCCTGTATGGCGCACGGGGAAACTGAGGCACCCACGGGATTCAGTCACACTAGTGAGAAAGTCCCCTACCTCTTCGCACTGTGAGGGGACAAACACTGGGCACAGTGAAATCTCACACAGCGGGGTCATGCGCCTCAAGGGACTGACATCGCAAAAATGATTCCCCTGTACATATACAATGGAGACCTTGGAGTGTCCGAAAACATCCCCTCGGCCCACAGCAAACAGAACGCTGGGAGCCATGAGGACGGGACAGAGAGCACAGCAGAGAATAGCAGATCGCCGCTAGACCGCTCCACGTGGTGCCCATCTTGTGTGCAGCTGTGGTCACCCCATCTGAAAAAAGATCTCTTGGCATTGGAAAGGCTTCAGGAAAGGGCAACAAAAATGCCTCGGGGTATGGACCGGCTGCCATGTGAGGAGAGATTAATAGGACTGGGACTGAGACGACAAAGGGGGATACAATCATGACCGGTGTGGAGGAAATGAATGAAGAAGAGTTCTTTAGTCCTTCCCATAGCACAAGAACTAGGGTCACCCAGTGAGGTGAATAGGCAGCAAGTTTAAAACCAAAGGAAGTGTTTCTTCACACAGTGCACAGTCAACCTGTGGAACTCCTCGCCAGAGGAGGGTGTGAAGGCCAGGACTTTAGCAGGGATCCGGAAAGAGCCAGATAGATTCACGGAGGTGAGGTCCATCAATGGCTGTTAGCCAGGCTGGGCAGGGGGGGTGTCCTTGGCCCCTGTGTGCCAGAGGCTGGGCATGGGTGACGGGTGGGATCACTGGGCAATTCCCCGCTCTGTGCATTCCCTCCGGGGCACCCGGCACGGGCCACTGTTGGGAGGCAGGACACGGCGCTGGATGGACCTTGGGTCTGATCCCGTCTGGCCGCTCTTATGTTCCTCCCCCAGAACCAGAAGCCTACCTCAGAGGAGATCCTGCTGATTGCAGAGCAGCTGAACATGGAGAAGGAGGTGATCCGCGTCTGGTTCTGCAACCGCCGCCAGAAGGAGAAACGCATCAACCCCTGCAGCAGCAGCCCCATGCTGCCCACCCAGGGCAAGCCCCCTGGATACGGCCCCCACATGGTACGTCCCGCCCCCCCGGGTACCTTGTCTATTTAGGGCCCAGTTGTGCCCTCCGGGCTCCTGTACAATTGGCATTAGGTTAGAAGGAGGCGACAGCAGCACGGACCTGTACTTGCCCATTGTGATAAATTGTCTTGTGCCTTTACTTCTGTATTTTGCCTTGGTAAAAGGAAGTAGCAGCTTGTGGAGCCCTGACGGGGCTAGCTAATCACATAACTGCACGCCTGCTTTCAGGGACTGATGCCACTCACGCCGAGCACATCGAGACCATCAAGTCCCGGATGTACGTGGGGCTTACTCCAGATCAGAGGTTCCTGCCAGGACATCTGGGCATGGGGCTGGTGGAAGGTAAGGCCGAGGACTGCAGTTAGGCATGCAGGTGTCTTCGCCGTCCCTTCCTTCCACTTACAGCCGGCTGTCATTCTTCAGGCTACGATTCCATGGGCTACGAGATGTCAAAGCCTGACCTGCGTGCGGAGCTGGAGGCTGATCTGAAGCTGATTTGTGAGGGCAAGAAGGACAAATCGGTGGTGCTGAGGCAGCAGGTCGCGAAGTACAAGCATGTCTTCACCGAAGCTGTGGCCAAAGCCAACAAGTGAGTGCCCATAAAACTCTCTGCAGTCGTCCAGGACAGCTGCAAGGAAGGGGGAGGGCTTAGCTTTGTGTCTGGGGCTTAGGCCGGGCTCTGATTATCGTATTTCCATGACGTGCTTAGGCCTCTCCAAGAGGAGTGGGGGGGAGTCCTTGTTACACTCAGGAGCGGCCCTAGACGAGCTGCCGGCAACTGGTGCCGTAGGCGAAACGCGCGATCGGCGCCCCTGCCCCCAAAGCCCGCGACGGCCGTTTTTCTTGGCGCTCTACACGACCGCCTAGAACGCCTGTATTGACGGGCTGCCATTGCCCACATGGTACGTACCGACCCCCCTGGGGTACAGCCCCCACATGTTACCCCCAGGTAGGGCCCCCACATGGTACGTACCGACCCCCCAGGGTACAGCCCCCACATGTTACATACTTACCCCCAGGTAGGGCCCCCACATGGTACGTACCGACCCCCCAGGGTACAGCCCCCACATGTTACATACTTACCCCCAGGTAGGGCCCCCACATGGTACGTACCGACCCCCCAGGGTACAGCCCCCACATGTTACATACTTACCCCCAGGTAGGGCCCCCACATGGTACGTACCGACCCCCCAGGGTACAGCCCCCACATGTTACATACTTACCCCCAGGTAGGGCCCCCACATGGTACGTACCGACCCCCCAGGGTACAGCCCCCACATGTTACATACTTACCCCCAGGTAGGGCCCCCACATGGTACGTACCAATCCCCGGGTACTGCCCCCCCACATAATGCATACTGATCCCTGGGTACTGCCCCCCCACATGGTATGTACCGATTCCCGGGTACTGCCCCCACGTGGTACGTACCAGTCCCAGGGTACATTCCCCACATGGTACGTACTGATTCCTGGGTACAGGCCCCCACATGGTACGTACCATTCCCCAGGTACATCCCCCACATGGTACGTACCAATCCCTGGGTACTGCCCCACATGGTGCATACCAATCCCCAGGTACATCCCCCACATGGTGCGTACCAATCCCCAGGTACATCCCCCACATGGTGCGTGCTAGTCCCCGGGTGCAACCCCCACATGGTATGTACCAATCCCAGGTACATCCCCCACATGGTGCGTGCTAGTCCCCGGGTGCAACCCCCACATGGTATGTACCAATCCCAGGTACATCCCCCACATGGTGCGTGCTAGTCCCCGGGTGCAACCCCCACATGGTATGTACCAATCCCAGGTACATCCCCCACATGGTGCGTGCTAGTCCCCGGGTGCAACCCCCACATGGTATGTACCAATCCCAGGTACATCCCCCACATGGTGCGTGCTAGTCCCCGGGTGCAACCCCCACATGGTACGTACCAATCCCCGGGTGCAACCCTTTCCCAGGTACATCCCCCACATGGTGCGTGCTAGTCCCCGGGTGCAACCCCCACATGGTATGTACCAATCCCAGGTACATCCCCCACATGGTGCGTGCTAGTCCCCGGGTGCAACCCCCACATGGTATGTACCAATCCCAGGTACATCCCCCACATGGTGCGTGCTAGTCCCCGGGTGCAACCCCCACATGGTATGTACCAATCCCAGGTACATCCCCCACATGGTGCGTGCTAGTCCCCGGGTGCAACCCCCACATGGTATGTACCAATCCCGGGTACATCCCCCACATGGTGCGTACCAATCCCCGGGTACATCCCCCACATGGTATGTACCAATCCCGGGTACATCCCCCACATGGTACGTACCAGTCTCTGGGCACATCCCCCACATCACCACCGCCAGCTGTCCCATAGGATATACCTTCGCACTATGGTACACTCCCCACCTGGACCTCCACCCTCCTTGCAGCCCCCACATGGTACCTATGTGGCACAGCCTCCCCCCATGGGATGACCCCTGCTACAGCCCTCACGTGGTACATTCTGCTCCTGCCTGTGGGGGTTCCCTGCGCCCCCCAGAGGTGGCCACCTGTCCTCCATTGATCTTGATCCGTCTCTCTCTGGCCAGGTGCCGAGTCCAGGCCCCGGCGTGAATCTCCCGCTCTCTCAGGCTTCCAGCAGTCTGAGCACAACAGGTATGTCCTTGCCTTGTGTTTACATAGGCCCTACCCAAACTCCACTCAGCCAGCAGGGAGACTGAGGCACTGTGTTTACATAGGACCTACAGCAATGGGACCTATTCGGTGGGCGTGACAGAACCAGTGAGGCACTCGTGTTTACATAGGACCTACACAAACTATATCTGACCCACAGGAAGCAGACTGAAGGGAATGTTTGAGGGCCTCTGTTTACGTAGGACCTACCGAAACTCAGCTAGCAGGGGAGACCAAGGCAGTGTGTTTCCCTAGGGCCCGCTGGGCTGAGCCCTCCCTCTGCTGACCCCCTTCCCCATCTCCCCTTTTCTCTTGCAGTGACTACCTTGTCCTCGGCGGTCGGCCCCCTGGCGCCCTCAATTCTGCCACGCCGCCTCCCAGCAACAGCACTAACCCCAGTCCCCAGAGCAGCACCCACCCGGCCATCAGCCTCTCGGGCCTCAACCCCAACACAGGGTAAGCAGCGGGGGGCCGCGACGGGCCCCGGGGGGGGTACAGCACTGGCCCAGGGTAACACGGCGACTGCCCCATGTGGGCAGAGTCTTCCAGTGCCAACGGGCCTGGGGCCAAGGTCACGTAGCGTGGGGAGGCCAGTGGCATGGGGGTGCTGAGGGGGTTCCCCGGCCTAACCTGCACGTCTGGTTTGATTTTCAGAAGCACAGTGCTAGGGGTGAACGCGGGGTTAAACCCGGCACTAATGGCCACCAACCCGCTGGCCACCATCCAAGGTTCGTGGCACGAGCAGGCATGCCGCCATCTGCTCTGCCCGCCGGCCAGCGCCAGCGTGCCTGGTGTGTGCAAGGGTGTGGGTGTGAGTGCAAGGCTGGAGCCAGGGCTGCTTGAAAAAGCAGGGCGAGGAGGCACGTGCATGGGAGCACAAGTGTGACAGGCCAGGAGTGAGTGGAAACTGGCCTTTGTGAGCGTGCGAGGACACCTGAGAGTACAGAGCTTGAAAGGGTGACTAGGCAGTGTGCGTGCAAGGAGAGCAGACGTGCAGAGATCCGTGTGTTTGTGTGAGGGTGAGGAGGGTGCGTGCAAGGAGAGCAGGCATGCAAAGATCCGTGTGTTTGTGTGAGGGTGAGGAGGGTGCGTGCAAGGCGAGCAGACATGCAGAGATTCGTGTCTTTGTGCGAGGGTCAGGAGGGTGCGTGCAAGGAGAGCAGACGTGCAGAGATCCGTGTCTTTGTGCGAGGGTCCGGAGGGTGCGTGCAAGGAGAGCAGACGTGCAGAGATCAGTGTGTTGGTGCGAGGATCAGGAGGGTGCGTGCAAGGAGAGCAGACGTGCAGAGATCCGTGTGTTGGTGCGAGGGTCAGGAGGGTGCGTGCAAGGAGAGCAGACGTGCAGAGAGCTCCCGGGCCCTGGACCCCCCTTTGTGCTCTCAGGCCCCTCTCCTCATCCTACCCAGCAGAGACTAACCCACACGCCCAGGCCCTGCCCCCAGCCAGGTGCCACCTCCCCCCTCCCTCCCCCCTGGAAGAGCCTTGTTCCTTGCCCAGGCTGGGCAGGGGTGTCTGGGCCAATCCACATGGGGGAGTCAGTGGGAATCGCAGCCCAGCGCAGCCAGGTGGGGACACCAGGTTACAAAGCAGACAGCCCCCCCGCTATGTCACAGTGCGCAAGGAGTGGAGATGTGCAGAGATCCGTGTGTTTGTGCGAGCGTAAGCACAAGGAGTGGAGATGTGCAGAGATCCGTGTGTTTGTGCGAGGGTAAGTGCAAGGAGTGGAGATGTGCAGATTGGTGTCCAAGGGTCAGGAGGGAGCGTGCGGGCAAGGAGGGTGAATCTGTGCAGAGATCTGTGTGTTTGTGCAAGGGTGAGGAGGGTGCATGCAAGAAATGGACACGTGCAGAGATCCATGTGTTTGTGCAAGGGTCAGGAGGGTGTGTGCAAGGACTGGACACGTGCAGAGATCCGTGTGTTTGTGCAAGGATGAGGAGGGTATGTGCAAGGACTGGACACGTGCAGAGATCCGTGTGTTTGTGCAAAGGTCAGGAGGGTGTGTGCAAGGAGTGGACACGTGCAGAGATCCATGTGTGTGTGCAAGGGTGAGGAGGGTATATGCAAGGACTGGACACGTGCAGAGATCCGTGTGTTTGTGCAAAGGTCAGGAGGGTGTGTGCAAGGAGTGGACACGTGCAGAGATCCATGTGTGTGTGCAAGGGTGAGGAGGGTATGTGCAAGGACTGGACACGTGCAGAGATCTGTGTGTTTGTGCAGCGATCTGTGTGTGAGGATGAGAAGCGAGTGTGGCTGTGGGGCCAGGCGCATGTGTTGTCCTGCCAGGTGAGTGTGCGAGGAGTGTGCGAGGCCGGCCGGTGGCACCCCAGACACCCCCGCCTGCTCATTCAGTCTGGGCCCCCCTCATCCCATCCATGGCCTGTAGCCGGCTGTAGAGCCCAGTAACCATCCATCCCACCCGCTCACTAACCGCCCCTCCCTCGCCGTGTCTGTTCTGTGTCATACACACTCGCTGGGGGCAATGGGGCACGGGGATTTCCCCTCTAGGCAGGGCCTGGCCCCTCCAGGGGGGCTGACCCGGGGAAGGGAGGGCGGCCGCTTGGGGGGCAGGGGAGGAACGGGGCGCAGGGCCTGTCCCCTCCAGGGGGTCTGGCCCAGGGAAGGGAGGGCAGCCGCTTGGGGGGCAGGGGAGGAACGGGGCGCAGGGCCTGTCCCCTCCAGGGGGTCTGGCCCAGGGAAGGGAGGGCAGCCGCTTGGGGGGCAGGGGAGGAACGGGGCGCAGGGCCTGTCCCCTCCAGGGGGTCTGGCCCAGGGAAGGGAGGGCAGCCGCTTGGGGGGCAGGGGAGGAACGGGGCGCAGGGCCTGTCCCCTCCAGGGGGTCTGGCCCAGGGAAGGGAGGGCAGCCGCTTGGGGGGCAGGGGAGGAACGGGGCGCAGGGCCTGTCCCCTCCAGGGGGGCTGACCCAGGGAAGGGAGGGCAGCCATTTGGGGGGTAGGGGGGAAACGGGGCGCAGGGCCTGTCCCCTCCAGGGGGTCTGACCCAGGGAAGGGAGGGCAGCCATTTGGGGGGTAGGGGGGAAACGGGGCGCAGGGCCTGTCCCCTCCAGGGGGTCTGACCCAGGGAAGGGAGGGCAGCCATTTGGGGGGTAGGGGGGAAACGGGGCGCAGGGCCTGTCCCCTCCAGGGGGTCTGACCCAGGGAAGGGAGGGCAGCCATTTGGGGGGTAGGGGGGAAACGGGGCGCAGGGCCTGTCCCCTCCAGGGGGTCTGACCCAGGGAAGGGAGGGCAGCCATTTGGGGGGTAGGGGGGAAACGGGGCGCAGGGCCTGTCCCCTCCAGGGGGTCTGACCCAGGGAAGGGAGGGCAGCCATTTGGGGGGTAGGGGGGAAACGGGGCGCAGGGCCTGTCCCCTCCAGGGGGTCTGACCCAGGGAAGGGAGGGCAGCCATTTGGGGGGTAGGGGGGAAACGGGGCGCAGGGCCTGTCCCCTCCAGGGGGTCTGACCCAGGGAAGGGAGGGCAGCCATTTGGGGGGTAGGGGGGAAACGGGGCGCAGGGCCTGTCCCCTCCAGGGGGTCTGACCCAGGGAAGGGAGGGCAGCCATTTGGGGGGTAGGGGGGAAACGGGGCGCAGGGCCTGTCCCCTCCAGGGGGTCTGAAACGAAGAAATCAACCAAAAATAACCCAAAGCAGCCAAACCACGGGCGAGGGGCGGAGGAACCACGGCCGGCTCCCCGGCGATCCACGGCCGTGCTCTGCATCTCCCGTGTCCCGGAAGCGGCCTGTCGTGGGAACCACTGCTTTTCCCGCGCTGGAGCACTTCCTCGAGGAAGCCAGGGGAAAACCACTGACCCTCCAGCTCGGGGAAAATCGTGGGCCCGTGACCCTGAAGGGGCCCAAAGCAGAATGCAAAGAACCCAGCTTGGATTGTGGTTTTTTCTTTCCTTTGCAATCTCGAGATTTAACGGCAATCTCGCTTTTTTGTTTTCACCGTTCGCTGACAGCGGGGGGCTGGCCGGCCGGGTGACGCGAGTTACTCTTCCGCCAGCGGGGTTGGTTTTTGGAATTTCTTTTTGATTTTTCTCGGAGTGTTTCTTGGACATTTTTGTGGGGGAGACGTAAGGAAAAATAGGTGTTTTTTTTAATTGCACAGGAAGAATAGGGGAAATAATAAGAAAAAAAAATCTCACACCAAAAAACCCCAACCCATGACCAGTCCCTAGCTTCGCCCAAAGGCTTTTTACAAACTTTTCTAACCTCTGTGTCCGGTCGAATGTCTTTTGAAACCTTTTATTTATTAGTAATCAATTTTTATTTGCCATGCGGGAAGGGGGCTCGCAGGGGGCGGGCGGGAGACTTTTCACGGCAGAGTCACGCTCCCAACGAACTCGCTTTTGCTTTCGATTTGATAAATCTCTATTTTTTCAATTTGCTTTTATTTTTGTAAAGAACTAAGCGGGCGTGGAGGTGGCTTTTCCGCAGCGCCTGGGAAGACGCTTCCGAAAGGGCTTCGGCTCTGCCTGCCGGACCGCTCAGGGCCAACTCTGCATGAGGACCTGGTGCCCCAGTTTAACCCAGCCGCCTCGCTCTGCTTTTCCCAGCCTGCCAGGGAGCCCGGGAAAGCTGCCGGCTGGGGGACGGCCAGCTAGCGCAAGAGCTCAGGAGCTTCTTAGAAGCAAGCGGGGGAGGAGACGTGAAAACAGCATCTGAGCATTTTCACGGGAGGAAAATCTTCCGCCTAGCGGAGCAAGGCAAACCAAGAGCGCAGTTCCAGCAGGAAGTAAGCGCCAGGGACTGGCAGTGTGAGGGGTTAGCCTGTGGGGCGCGCTCTCTCTCACTTTAGCGACTTGCCCTCGGCTTAAACTGCCGCACGGTCTTCATGCAGACGCTGGCTCCCAGCCTTTGCGCCGCTCCGGCCGTCAGCGGGGCTACTCAAAGAGCTGCGAGCGGCCCACGGGCCTGCCGCTTTGCTCGCCTGGGGCCTCCTCTCAGAACCAACCCGAGCCTCGACCCCTCCCAGGCAGGCCGCCCCAAGCAGTCTTTTCCATTCCGTTTTTTCCGTTTTCTGTTCAGCGCGGGTATCTCTGGGGTTGTTTTCTGAAGTAGGGGAAGGACATATAATGGGTTGTTTTTATTTTTATATCTATGTTCTGAAAAAAGATCATATTCCAGTGCCTGACAAAAAGACAAACAAAGAAAAACGGGAATTTCAGCTTTCTTTACATTTTCCAAAAGAAACCAAAAAATCGCTGGATCTGTGTACAGGAAACCATTGGCATGAAGACTTTTGCTCTCACTGCAAAGACTCGGGATGTGATGGGAAACTTTGAACCAAAAAAATTCGTAACAAAGTGATCTAAGAAAACTCAAATATTGAAGAAGAAAGGATTTTAACAC